GTTAACTTATGATAAGAGATCTACTGAAGTCAGCTTTGTACCAGGAGACAAGGTATGGTTGTATAATCGCAGGAAGAACAAAGGGAAGTCTCCTAAGTTGTCTTCTCCATGGGAAGGCCCATGTGACATAGTGGATCATTTCTCAGACGTGACTTTCCCGGGTAAAATGTGGTTGGCGAGGTAAGCCAAAAGTGGTGCATGCCAACAGGCTCTGGCGTTATCACGGTCCAGGACATTTCAGTTGGGATGAAGTGGTCAGCAGAACAAATGACGCTGCTGAAGACGTGCCACCTGAAGATGTCACCGTCGAAGAATAAACTCTACTCAGTTTTGAGAAGGGAAACGGTGAAGCTCTTGGTGAAGTTACTACCACTGATGTGACTGTTATCGACGATAGGACATTTACTGATGAAGCAGATGAACCCCACATGAAGCAGAAGCCAACGAGACCTGTACAGAAGAAGATACGTCCCGTAAAAGTAAGAGACTTTGTTGAATTGTAATTTTGTGATTGTAATTCTGTACAGTTAATTAAGTTATTGTTAATTGTTATTGGTTTATTGTATGTGGTTATTGTTCGGGAAGAACAATATTAAGGAGGGGGCAGTGTTGCATCATCGAGATCACGTGACTATTCTCACGCCCTCTACTTTCTAGAACTATCCTGTACTTTGGCGAATGCTCTAGCATTTACTAGATATAGGGTAGTCTTGTATATAAAAGAGGGTGACAACGTGACGGTAATGTAATGTGTGTGTAGGTAATGAGTAAATGAACTGCAGTCAGAGAGAGACGTATTGTTGAAGTTAATGTTCGTTGTTAAAACGTTTGTAAAAGAGTGACTGTTGAAAATAAGTGTATCGTGAAGTTATATTCAGAAAGAATAAACCAGTCTTATTAAGTAAGGACTTGTGTCGCTAAAGTTTCGTCGGAACGAAGTTACGGAAAATTAATTAACAAACGGAGACGTAACAATATATATAGATGTATAATGTTATGAGATTTAAGCTATTTAGTCTGTTTTTGTGTTATAATTTGTGTTTACTCTAGAATGAAAGAGGTATAATTTATATTTATTTCCTAATTTTTATGGTGGTTGCAAGAGTGGCCAAATCTATGGAACCCGTACAGAGAATAATTACTGAAAATAACAGATAACATATAAAGTTTTTTCTTAAGAAACATTTGATAACTATCTCAACATTATAAAGATTTCACATGTGAAATTTCAAAATTTTCTGATACATAAAAGTATTTTTAATTTTAAAATACATATTACTTTTCATGATAGATAGGCAACATGTGAAAAGAAAAAATAGGCATGAGAAAAACATTGCTTTACAATCCTTAAGACTTAATAAAAAATTTGATATTTTGCATATGAAAGCATTGTAATGTTTACTGATAATATTCACTTACTAATTTAAAAGTAATAGCGTGAAAACTATAACAAGCACAAAATGGTTATGAGGTCAGTCCCAAGGACCAATCCCATGCTGAAAGATGTAACTGGAGTAGCCGTAAAGTGGAAGATAGCTGTGGAGTTGACCAGCAAGAGCAGCGGATAGTTCAGCAACACTCTTCATCGTGCATAAATGTTTGGTTCTTCCATAAATTATCCTTCTGGTTAGCAATAAGGTTTTAAATACTGAAACTTAAACTAACTTAGTCAGTGACCAATGAATTGTATAACATAACCAATGAGATCCTCAGTAAAGGAGAAATTTTAAATCTAAACCTTACTTATAATTTATATGTATTAACTTCTGTGATTGTTTTCCTATTCCGAACAAACATGACTGAGATATACTCTGTAACCACTGTCTTGAAAAAATGAATAAAATATATGTTTTATTCTCTTAATTATGGCTCGTTGTCTCTTACATAAACTACCTCAAGTTGGCAACCTGTGTAAAAACTAATGACTTCACCCTCTTGGTACTTCAAATAAATACCATTTGTAACTGTGGTGTTACTCCACATTACCACAACCTATTACATAAGCCAAAATAAATGTGCTACAAAACTAAACAATTCACCCACCAAGTTTATCTGTATAATCTCTCATAACATGTCTTAACCATAAACAATAATTTACTTTTCAACCTAAATTACTTCCAAGTACACATATATAAAAATAATAAGGTACAATGTTTTCGTAATTACTCGCACGTACACATTAGAATGATTTGTATTACAACAGATACCAGTCCTCATAAGCATTAACAACTGCTTTTACTTCCAAATTATCCTCATCCACTATTAAAATATTTGAGAAGTTGTGTAAAATGTGTCACATAAAAATTCTGTGCTTTGGAAATATCAAAATGAGAAAAAATCTTATGTTGCTTACACTTATTAACTTTTCTCAAATGTAGTAACAATGTACCTATGAGGATAATCCAATGAAAACATGTTTGCTGCAAAAGTGAACCATTTACAATTTCTTAAAATAAACAGAAAAGCAATAAATGTTCAAAAAACTCAGCACGTGTAAGTAATGACATCAGTTTTAAACATTCCAAGCCTACTGAAACACTTTTTCATGTCTTACTTCACAATTTATTTGTGTCACCAAAGAAAATTTAATCATTTGGCTAAGTTGTTGAAGTATTTAACTACATAAGCCAGTCCTTAAACAAAACATTTGTGATAAAGTCAACACTTTACTTTGTAGGTTGAAAATCATAATTCACAGAGACCAAGTTAAACCAAAAACATCACTGAATTACAGAAATTTTGTTCTGTATCATTAAAGAAAAGTACTTAATCATAACACACATGTAAAAACATTCAACAACTTAACTTGTTTGTTGATCACCAGTACCATAAACATCAGTACTTAATTACAGAATATATATTTGAAAACTCAAGAACTCACTTGACAAGATGATCGTTGTTGCTACAAACAGTCCTCAACCATAAAACATCTGTTATGGAGCTTGAAACAGGAAAAAGGCATGCATTCATCAAAGAACATCTGCTTTCTTCCTGAAGTTGAAAAATTATTATAAATGTCAAATCAACTAAAACTAATAATTCAAAGAACACTAAAAAGTCGTAACATAAAAAGTATTTTGATTGTTTGGCATTTATTGGTGCAAAGCAACTAGGCTATCTATAACTGGAAAAAAAGATGCAAGTAAAATATAATAAAATGTAAAAAGAAAAAATTAAAAAATGAAACAATGCCCAAAAAATTAGGTAAAAATCTAAATAGAAGTAAAAAGGCCAATGGCCCATAAAAAACAAAAAAAAACAATCAAATTGAACAGTGTCACCATTGCCAATGACACCGTCCAACATCAAGGGTAAATCTTTAGAAAATACATCTCTAAAATGATACTGCCACTGATCTTCATAATGGTGGCACAAAAGTCAAATGTGGACAGTTGAGATCTGAGTGTCACAAAAGTCACACATTGGTGGATCAGTCCCACAAAAAAAAAGAAAATGATGAGTAAAAAAAATGTGACCAATACGTAACCTACAAAGACAATCTCCTACCATCAATCCTTATGGAAACTATACGGCCAAAATATAAAAGTAGGTAAAGCTTGTTATGAAGCTTTTCACCCCATGCTGATTGCCAACTGGCGCAAAGCTGGGCCTTGATCAATGGACCACGGTCCATATATGGGACAGGCATGGCTGCAACTGAACCAGAGTAGACAGATGTAGCTAAGGTGTCAGCAAGCTCATTTCCGCAAATATCAACATGGCCAGGAATCCAGAAAAACTGGACAGAGATAGAGGACAGTGAAAAGTGGGTTAGACATTTCTGAATAATGATTCAAGGGCCAGTAGAGAGCTATGAGAGTCTGTGTAAGTAGTACAGTTAGTTTACTGCTTAGCTACTACATGATTCAAGGCAAGAGAAATGGCATAGAACTTGGCAGTGAACAGAGAAACTGTAGAGTATCTGTGAGTAATCACCGAGCCACAACCAACCATGGCAGAGCCCTGATTTGGCCTGATTTAGAATCATCCATAAAAACAGGAACAGAAGAATGGTTCAAAAGATGTTTGCAGAGAAGACAGTACTTCCAAATGGTAGTATCCAGCTTCCTCAAATAACTCAAAGAAAGGTGTCAGCTGAGGATGGTTATGAGCCATGGTGGGGTGGGCTGATCAATGGACTCAGTAACTTCATCCAATGACAAACTCAATTCAGCCAGTTGTGTTTGGATACAAAGGGAGGAATAGCAGACTGTCTATTCTGAAAAAGAGCACAGCACACCAAGAAAGGAATGCTGTGGTATGGATCAAAGCTTGGTAGCATATCATAAAGAAAGCTGCAAATGGCAGAGGCGAAGAGAAGGTTCATAGGACTCAATGTACAAACTCTGGACTGGGGAAATGTGGAACGCCCTTATGCAGAGCCAAATCCCCAGATGGTGAACAGGGTCCAACATCTTCAAGGCAGAGGGCCAAGTAGAACCATACACCAAAGGCCCATAGTCCAGCTTGGAACATATGAGGGCACAATAGATACTCAACATAGACCATTGATCCACTCCCCAAGTGGTGGATGAGAGGACTGGAGGATGTACAGTGCCCTTGTACACTGGACACGATGCTGCTTAATGTAAGAAATAAAAGTAAGCTTACGGTCAAAGAAAAGACCCAAGGAATTCCCCTCAAGAACTGCAGGAAAACATCACCAAGACAGAGCTCAGGATCATGGTGTAAACATCACTGGTAGCAAAAATGAATGCAAACTGAGTGGTGCACTTCAGTAAGCAAGTGAAAGCACTCTGAAGTTGCCATTTAATAAATCTCGCATACAACAACAGAAAAGAGATGTGGAAGTCGTCGACATAAAGGCCATTTTCAACAGTAGGAGGAAATTGTTTAGTGATAGCATTGGTCTTGATACTGAAAAGGGTGACACTCAAGACACAGCTCTGAGGAACTCCAAGTTCCTGTGAAAGAATGGGAAAGAGTCAAACCCACATGGACTTGGAATCACCTGTCAAGTAAAAAGTTATGAATAAAAATGGGTAACTGGCCACACAACCCATAGGAGTGGAGGTCCTGCAAAATGCCAAATCTCCATGTAGTGTTATAAGCCTGCACAAGATCAAAGAAGACAGAAACAAGATGCTCGCTCTTGAGGAAGGCTTCCCTGATTGGGGTTTCAAGATGAATCAGGTAGTCCACAGTGGAGTGCTATTGACAAAGACCACATTGGATGGGCAAGAGGAGGTTGTTTGATTCAAGGATCCAAAGAAGATGTGCATTAAACATCCTCTCCAAGACCTTACAGAGATAGCTAGTCAAAGAAATTAGACAATGATTAGAAGGAATATTGGGATCTTTCCCAGGATTTGAGAAAGGAAAAACAATATCCCTGTGTCAAGCACCTGGAGAAACATTCTCCTGCCAAATCTGGTTAAAAAAACCAGAAGAACAGCAAGAGAGGTAGGAGAGAGATGGCACAGCATCTCATAGTGAACATCATCAGGTCTGACTGATGTACTGCCAGATCGATGAAGAGCAAGCTTAAGTTCTACCAGTGTAATTGGGCAATTATAATCATAGAGATGATCAGCCCAAAAGGAAAGGGTTGATTGCTCAGCCTGAGACTTAATGGCCAAGAAGGCAGGATAAGAGACAGAGTGCTGGAAAGATAAGCAGAGCTCTTCCCAAGTGAATTGGCGATACTTTGTACATCAGTAATTTCCAGGCTATTGGAGAGAAAGATAGACAGGAGATGGGAAGAATACTTCCCACTGATCTTCTAAATCTTGTCCCAGATGACTTTGGAACTGGTGGTGAACTTAATTGAAGATTCCCTCTGGCTTTGACATCTGACCTGCCAAGCATGGCCCTTTTTTAGTCTTCCATGCCTGCTAGCTTGCAGGTGAAGACCATGAACGAGAATACTGTGGGAAATGTGTTGAGGTTTTGGGGATAAAATGAACAGTTGCTTGAATTATACAATTAGTTACTCTTCCATACAGTCATTAATAGGTGGAAGACTAATGACAGCAAGATCAAGTTCCAAGAAAGCAGTAAAGGAGAGCCAGTGAGCCCACTCCAACTTCTACCATGGCACTCAGATCAAGTGGCAACGACCACGGCCAGTCTCCCTAAAAACAATGGGAAAATGATCAATGCCTCGTGGGTCACTGTCAACCTTTCAAAAAAAATGAGAAAAAAGCAAAGGTGAACAAATAGATAGGTCAATTGCAGTAGAGACTGACTCAGTGCATGAAAACAGGTTAAAGAACCAGTACTGAAGAGAGAAAGGTTGTGATCTGAGAGCATACGCTCCACAGAAGGACCCCTCCCATCAATATCAGCCCCACCCCTAAGTGGGTTGTGTCCATTAAAGTCTCCAAAGATGAAAAAGGGTGGCAGCAACTGTTCTAGTGTCATCCAAATTAGAAGGGAAACCTCGACAGTTCCACTGTATCAAAGTGGCCATTTTTATTTAGGTGGAGGAGAAATGGGCAAAGAACACTTTTGTTTGTGACCACAACTTTTATTTTTTTAAGAAAGAGGTCTGTTGACCTCCATGGAACCTGCCCGAGGACGATTGGGAATATCTCTGTCAGAAAAGGGGGGCTCCAGTGACTGAGGGCATGACTGAATAATGGTCCTGCACCTTGGGGTCGAAAGAGATGGTATCGAACAGTCACTTGAAGCACTGGTGGGGACAGAGACAGAAGATGTAGACTTGTCAACTCTTGCATCCACAAATGACAAAAGACTCTGTTGGAAGCATGCAAAGATCTGTATGCACTCCCAATCTAGCACTGGAATAGAGTGCAGCCCCATATGTCCAAGATGGAATGGGGGACAACATCTTCCGAGTCTCTGGATAAGAAATGTTGTTTACAGTATGTAAATGTTGTACCTCTTTCTCCTCCATCCTCTTAGGGCAAGATCAAAAGTATGAGGGGTGGGAACCACCACAATTGATGCAGTGAGAGTCCAGTTGACACTCTTAGCCACCACAAACAGCACACATCAAAGAACCATGACAAGATGCCTTTGAATGTCTGAACCAATAACACTGGAAACACCTGAGAAAGTTAGAAATATAAGGCCATACTTTACAGTTCAGATAACCTGCCTTGAAAGTGGCAGGCAGACATGGTGATGTAAGTGTCAATACAAGAGTATCCAGAAGAAACTGACTTATTTTGGAAATAACCCTTAACTTATCTGGAGATACCTCTTTTTACCAAGACTATTGAATATTGTGAAGATACTACTGATAAAAGTAACCCTTATCTCATCTGGAGATACTCTTGACTAAGATAGTTGATATTTTGAGTATCCTGAAGATATTACTGACCTAGTTTAGAGATAACTCTTATCTTGCATGGAGACACTCTTAAGCAAGATTAATGATATTCTACTGCAAACTGGAGACACATGTAACCTTCTTTGTAGAAATCTTTTATTTTGCTATGGAGATACTCTTGGCTAAACTGCTTATACTTTGATGTAGTCTTTAGAACTCTTGGTCAAGGTTGTTGATATTCTTCCATAGTCTAAAGATACTCCTGAGCTAGTTTGTGAACATCCACTATCTAGACTGGAGATTCGTTTGAACCAGAAAATGATATGAATGATTTAATCTAAAGGTCAAATTCACTGATATATGAATAAGTACAAACATATGTACTCTGAGACTTAATAATGCACAACATAAGAGACTAAACTTCTGAATGAAAATGATGCTATAGTTTTACCTTACCACTTCTGTTTGTTAGTGCTAGATTAACCAAAAATTAAGAGCAGAACCTATTTAAAAGCTAGAGTCTAACTTCAGTTTATTTCTGAGCTTATCCATACAAAAACTATACTGAGTTTTTACATACTATGTATAGTTCGTCCCAAACATCTTGTGGTAAAATTCCAGTTTGTTGAAAAAACTTCTCCCATGGAATATTGCAGAAAGTACTTCTTGAATCTGACATGCTCAACTGGTAAGAAACAAAAATCAAGAAAATATGGGCTAAATCAATATCAATAGACCATTCATCTTAAGGTCTCACAATTTAAGAAAAAGAGGTGTGAATATACTGAAACACAACAAATAAAAATATCCTCTTAATTTTAAAGTTTTTGAAAAATAAAATGGAAATCAAAAATAATTCTTAACTAAAACTTTTCCAATCTCTTGATCCAGGCCATTCACTTATTTAGTTTCTCCCAATTAGTCATGTAATATAGAGAATGTTCACTTCTGAGGGATCACTTATTGGCTATGAGATGTATAATTTTATTCAGAGGTCTGTAGACAATTGGAAACAATTATGGTTATTAATATCTAAAAAACTACACTGTCATTCACATTGAACAACAATGCATTCTGCTCAGTCATTTGAATATTTTAATAACTGATAAAGATAAATGTGTGATATATGCATTTGATAATGTGTCCCATGAAACAAAAATTAAATCTGTGGGTGTGCAGAAAATGTTATGAAATTGGATAGAAAATTGGCTGGAAAGTAGAAAGCAGTGAGTTACAAGTTGTATGCCTTGGGGATCTGTGCTGGGTCCTCTGCTGGTTGTGATTTATATTAATGATATTGACTCTGGAATGACTAACAAAATTTTGAAGTCTACAGTGGCTAACAGTATCAAAGATGCTGCAGACTTACAGGGAGATTTAGATCATTTGAGGCAATGAGCCAATATGTGGTATATGATGTTTAACTATCTAAATGTAAGGTGATACATGATGTAAGGTTTTCACAATTCTAATTATTGTTACAATTTAAATGAGAATACATTAAATACTGTGGTTGAAGAAAAATATCTTGGTGTTGTGATTGAAAGATCACTTAATTCATCCAGACAGTGTATTGTAGCTAGCAATAGGGCTAATAGAATTTTGTGTAGCATCTATAGAAGTATTGAATACAAAACAAGGGATATTATTGTTTCACTGTATAGATCACTTGTAAGGCTTCATTTAGAGTACCGTGTACAGTTTTGAGCTACCTTCCTCAAAAAAAAAAAGACATTGAATTGTTGGAGAAGGTTCAGACAAGAGCCAATAGGATGATACCTGGGATGGTAGGATTGTCCTATTAGAAGAGACTAAAATAGAAACTAATATAGATCCATCAAACTTTTTTGTGTTTAGCATTGAAAACAATAGGATGGGGGGTCATAAATTCAAATTTTGGCAGCAAAGAAGTCATCTGCAGTGTAGACAGTACTACTTTTCAAACAGGGTGGTTGGCTTTTAGGATGAGCTTCCTTCAAGGGTGGTGGAGGCAGAAAATTTAAAGTTCAAGAAAAGATTGGATGAATACACAAGAAGTAAGGGGTGATTATAGCTGAGAGATGGAAAAGACATCCTTGATGGGCTAGTAAGCTCCTTTTTGTTCCTTTAAAATCTTATGAAATTTCATGTTTTTCACCATCTTTAGTCTGTCTCTATGCAGTTTTGGTATAATCAAATAACCAGAAAACCACTGCACTGTTTTTTTCTATTTACCTATGTGTATTTTTTGTTTTCTATTACAAATATAATCATCACACATCTGTATTGAAAGTGGCAATGAGCACAATGCCCTTCACTGGCCAAGCAGATGATGGCTGTAAATTACAGCCAAGAAATGCTGTGAGAAGATGACCAGATATGTGGTGATGCCAACACAAAGAAATGATGAAAGGTTCCTTGCAAGTTCTGAACCTATATTCTCTCTCAGTTCTACCTGATTATCTAATTTTTTAGCTCAACATAGATCTGTCTTGAGCAAAAGTACACTGATCCAATGGAAGCAATCATTGTCTATGTAAGTACTCGTAATGTTTTTTGGGCTATGTGTTAAAATCCATGTCCTGTCTAGTTATTTCTCATTGCTTGAAACTTAGTCAGTTTTCAAATTCAGATTACTCTTTACAGTTCCAGTTTAACCCTCCCATTATCAAGAGAACTATCTGATGCTTACACAGAAATCAGTTTATATGATAATAACATAAATGCCTAGCAAAGGAGATAAACACATAACAGTGCAACATTTCAATGACTATTTATCATCATTTTCAAGAGCCTGCTAACAATGTTAGGAAATTCATAGTCATTTAAACACAATGAATGAGCCAACAGATGATCCGCTGGAAATGTTTTTATGGATGTAATAATTCTGTAAATATATGAGAGAGGTTGCCATCCAACATCACAACTGATTAAATTTCTACAGTTCTTGGTGATATACCATTCTTCATGAAACCCTTATCTGGTAAAGTTGGTACAATTGTTATTAATTTCAATCTTGTTCCAATTATGGTTGGTTAAAGATATATGATCCACAATCGCATAATCCTTAATATTTCCCGTTTTAATAACTTTTGTGTTCATTAATGCATGTTTTTAAGAGACGTCTGGTTTCTCCTATGTAACAGGTGTCAGAATCATCTAACTTAATTTCATACACTATTGGTGAGAATTAGTTTAGATATTTATTGTTTTCTGGTAAACACTTAAGTTGAAATTTTTTGAAAAATGTATAATTAAAATGTATAAAAATGCAATGTGTAATTGTTTCCTTATTCAACATCAACTTGGTAAAAAAGAGTTTGAAAATTCAAGTGTGTGAGTAGTTGGTCAACATTTTCTTGATTAATGAGGCAAAAAACGTTGATGTCATATCCATGATAAATTTTAATTTCTCTTATAAGTGTGTTTAAAGTAGAAGTTTTACTAATTAAGCATCAACAGGAGAAACAGAGGTTCCCTTATCCATCCATGTAATTGTTTTTTACACAACATTTGTAAATGAGAACACTGTGGTTTCTAACAGAACTGTAGATAATCACACAATTCAAAAACCTATATATATGTACAGGGAAGTTTTATTTGGTTTCATTGTTTTCTCAGTTACTTGAAGCCCCAAGAAACAGGCACTGACATGAAATGGTTAATGACATCATAACATCAGATCATAATCAAATATAGCCAAACTTTGCAATTCATGAATCATAAGTTTAGAATTCTTGACATGAAACGTAGTACATATATAAAGTGGTTTTAAAATATCAATAACATGCTTCAACAACAAAATGGGATGGAAGGTTTATGCATTTTTGGAGAATGTAAAATAGTAGTAATTGATCTTCACTGCTGTGGAAATCAACATAATTTTCGGTAATACAACCTAACTGCTTAAGACATATTTAAGCATTGATTCAGGTCACTTCAAAGTTTGGCTATTGGGTTTGTTTTTAATATTTCATAAGTATTTCAGTCATTTAGTAGAATTATTCCTTTTGCATGATAACCATTAAAGTCAATTAGAATAACTGCATTATCCTTATCAGCTGGTAAAATTATGGCTATTTAAGTTTCTTAGTTCTCTTACAGCTCTTCATTCATCACTAGATAAGTTGTCGAGAAGCAATCTTACCTGGTAAAAAGTATCAGTAACTATATCAGAATTTTTATCATTTCTGGTCCAGGAAAAACTTCTGCATCTTTGACTGCTAAGCAAAATATCATTTAAAAAAATAGTGTGGAGGTTGAGACAAAAATGTAACCCTTTCTTTCTAGAAGATTTTTAGTTGCGTGTCAGAAAGTTTGTACAATGATAAGTTTAGAACTGTGTGTAAATTGTCTTCTGTTGTGATCAGACAGATTTTATCCCAGATTTGGATGCTTTTGCTACTCATCTTCATACACAACTTCCCCAGTTTTGATCTTCTGTTCCTCATCCTTGGGCTTTTGGTGTCGCCCATTACTCTTCCTTTATCTCCAACACTCCTACGTCAGCCCCCTCTTTGACATGCATCATCCAGGTGAAGTCAGTTATTAAGAGAGGAGTAAGGTCAAGAGGGGCATCTAAGGGATCTAAAACAAGGCACCATTGATGTATCCAAACCAACTGAATATGACACATGTTGGCAAGACCAAGAAGAACGAGGGCTTCTTGAGAAGTCAATGTCCCCAAAAGAGAGAGAACCTTTCGTACAGTAGTAGAGGATGAGACATTCCATAGCTCTCAATTGAAGTGGAGAATGTTGGGCACTGAAGATGGAGTAGAAAATACCTCCAAGACGAACCAAATAGTGTGTGTGTGTGTGAGGAAAATGTCTTGACTTTGATAAGCCAACCAATCCACTGCAGCAGTAATAGTAATTGTAGTCGTGACCATCTGAAACTGCAAGTGCATAAATCTCAAAATTGGAAAAGGAGAGAAGAGAAATAAATTTTCAATTCTCCACTAAACAGAACAAAAAAAGATAAAGAACAATGTAACTGAAATATAAAAATTAAGAAAGTAAAAACTTTTGAATATATTAATCAAGCCATGGGCAAAAGTGTATCTACACAATAAGACTGCCAATCAAGAAGTAGTTAACAGCTGCAAGATTAGAGAAGGTGCTACTTATGATAGGGATAGTGTCACACTCCTATTGGTGGAGGGTTGCTGCATAATCATTTGCATGTTGATATGCAGATATCTCATGTTAGCATACATGAGGTTAAATGGGAGTATCAAGGCTATTGGTAAGGGAAACTTTGCATCGATAGAATAAGCTTTTTGTGAGGGGAGGTAAGATATTTTATCAGAATTTAGCAATATTTTTAAAATCTTTGGGACATAAGTAAAGTCTTAAGTGGTTAGAAAGCTTACTGTTGTCTTCTTGATAGATCTTTAAAGTTTCATGACAATCAAAAATCTTAGCTTTCATGAATTACAGACTACCTTATAGAGTAATACTGTTACCTGAAGAGTTCTTGATTCATTCTTTAAGGAAGTGTGGAATGACACCCTTGGTAAGACAGCATTAACAAAAGATTATTTTTGTTGCTTTCAAGCACATTTCCATGCTATTTTCAAAAACAAATTCACAGATATAACAGTAACTTGTCTGTAGCTAAACATCAACTGCAGTAATAAAATTTGGCAAAACATACTTCAAAGCTGAGCCAAACACTGTACAAGCACATTTTCAACAATGACAT